CAGTTCATACATACAGTTCAAAACCTACAGGTGCACAGTATTGACACGGGGGTCACACAGTCCACAGGAAACGCATTCATAGTTAATACAGCATTTTGCCGGTTCACAGAGTAAGCCTAACGAGGGGTCACACAGTCTACAGCGAGAGAATTATAAATTATAGGGTACATTCTTCGCTCGAGATATTGTAGACTGGATAAACAAAGCTTAAAATATCTTGCTGGGAGATTGGCGACTAAAAATCTTAAAAGATTAGCGACAAAAAAATCTTAAAATGATTTAATTTTTTCCAATTATGTGCTTATTTTTTTCTGTTCATGTGGCATTTGTTATTTTTTCATATACCTGCTCTTTCATTTTCTTTGTCTTTTTATTTGTTCTTTTTTTAATATTTTCATTGTTTTATTCGTGCTTCACTTGACGCAAGCACTTTTTTCTTTCTTTCAGATACAAAAGCAATTTTTTTCTCTATTTACTCTTTTTCTTAAGGTCATATAATCTGTTAGATCACAATTTATTCCCAATTCCCTCTGAGGTCACTTAGTCTACTATGTCACCAATACTACGCTGAGGTCACCAATATTACTCCAAGGTCACCAATACTACCCTGAGGTCACCAATACTACTCTGAGATCACCAATACTCCTCTGAGGTCACGCGGGGTCACAAAGTTTACTTAAAAGTCTCACAACCCACTACCGAGGTCACAGGGGCTATTCCGAGGTCACAAGGGCTATTCCGAGGTCTCAGGGACTATCCCGAGGTCACAGGGACTATTCCGAGGTCACAGGGGCTATTCCGAGGTCACAGGGGTCACAGGCTCCGAGGTCACAGGCTATTCGAGGTCACAGGGGCTATTCACAGGGGCTATACCGAGGTCACAGGCTCTATTCCGAGGTCACAGGGGCTATACCGAGGTCACAGGGACTATTCCGAGGTCACTAACCCTTCCCTAGTTCATATAGTCTACTCCGAGGTCACGCAGTTTGATCCTAGGTCGCGGAGTCTACGTCGAATGGCAGAGTGTCCATCAGGCTCACAGGAATTAAAGAGATTAATACCTTTTGGTCCAGAATTACTGAAGAGATACACTATTTTTGTTTCTTTTTTTTTTTTTATTTTTTTTTTGTTCTTTTGTCTTTTTGTTTTCTTATACTCTTTTTTCTTTTGTTCCCTTTTGTCTTTTTCTTTTCTTTGTCTTTTTAATTTCTATTTTTAAATTTAAATTCTATTTAAAATTCTATTTGTTCTTTTCTTTTTGTTTTCTTATACTCTTTTTTCTTTTGTTCCCTTTTGGATTTTTCTTTTTTTTTATTTCTTTTCTTTTGTTTCCTTTTTCATATTCAGAACCAGTGCCACGGACTCAAAAGCGAGGTCACAGAGTCCACAGGAGAACCAGACAAACAGACTCAAAAGCGAGGTCACAGAGTCCACAGGAGACCAGCAAAACAGATCAAGCGAGGTCACAGAGTCCACAGGAGAACCAGCCACTCAAAAGCGAACAGAACTCAAAAGCGAGGAAACAGAGACTACAGGAGAACCAGCCAAACAAACTCAAAAGCGAGGTCACAGAGTCCACAGAAAGAACCAGACAAACAGACTCAAAAAGCGAGGTCACAAGTCACAGGAGAACCAGCCAAACAGTCTCAAAAGCGAGGTCACAGATTCCACAGGAGAACCAGACAAACAGACTCAAATACATCAAGAGTCAGAAGAACCAGCCAAACAGACTCAAAAGCGAGTCACAGAAGAACCAGACAAACAGACTCAAACAAGTCACAGAGTCACAGGAGAACCAGACAAACAGACTCAAACAGGTCACAGATCCACAGGAGAACCAGACAACAGAGAGGTCACAGAGTCCACAGGAAACCAGCCAAACAGACTCAAAAGCGAGTCACAGAGTCCACAGGAGAACCAGCCAAACAGACTCAAAAGCCACAGAGTCCACAGGAGAACCAGCCAAACAGACTCAAAGCGAGGTCACAGAGTCCACAGGAGAACCAGCCCAAACAGACTCAAAAGCGAGGTCAAGAGTCCACAGGAGAACCAGCCAAACAGACTCAAAAAGCACAGGTCCAGAGAACCACCAAGGCGAGGTCCAAGTCCACAGGAGAACCAGCAAACAGACTCAAAAGCGAGGAAACAGACTACAGGAGAAACCAGCCAAACAAACTCAAAAGCGAGTCACAGATCCACAGAAGAACCAGAAACAGACTCAAAACGAGTCACAGAGTCCACAGGAGAACCAGCAAACAGACTCAAAAAGCGAGGTCCGAGGTCACAGAGTCCACAGGAGAACCAGCCAAACAGACTCAGAAAGAGGTCACAGAGTCCACAGGAGAACCAGCCAAACAGACTCAGAAGCGAGGTCACAGAGTCCACAGGAGAACCAGACAAACAGACTGAAAAGCGAGGTCACAAGAGTCACAGGAGAAACCAGCCAAACAGACTCAAAAGCGAGGTCACAGAGTCCACAGGAAACCAGCCAAACAGACTCAAAGCTAGGTTCCAGCACAGAGTCTACAGGAGAACCAGCCAAACAGACTCAAAGCGAGGTCACAGAGTCCACAGGAGAACCAGCCAAAAACAGACTCAGAAGCGAGGTCACAGAGTCCACAGGAAAACCAGACAAACAGACTCAAAAGCGAGGTCACAGAGTCCACAGGAGACCAGCCAAACAGACTCACAGAGTCCACAGGTCAACAGACAGAGTCTAAACAGACTCAAAAGGAGTCACAGAGTCCACGCCCAGCCAAACAGACTCAAAAGCGAGGTCACAGAGTCCACAGGAAGAACCAGACTAAACAGACTCAAAAAGCGAGGTCACAGATCCACAGGAGAACCAGCCAAACAGACTCTAAAGCGAGGCACAGATTCCACAGGAGAACCAGACAAACAGACTCAAAGCAGGTCACAGAGTCCACAAAAGAACCAGCAAAAGACTCAAGAAGCGAGGTCACAGAGTCCACAGGAGAAACCAGACAAACCAGACTCAAAAGCGAGGTCACAGAGTCCACAGGAGAACCAACAAACAGTCTCAAAAAGCAGTCACAGAGTCCACAGGAGAACCAGCAACAGACTCAAGCGAGGTCACAGAGTCCACAGGAGAACCAAAACAGACTGAAAAGCGAGGTCACAGAGTCCACGGAGAACCAGACAAAACAGACTCAAAAGCGAGGTCACAGAGTCCACAGGAGAACCAGCCAAACAGACTCAAAACGAGGTCACAGAGGTCCACAGGAGAACCAGCCAAACCAGACTCTAAAGCAGAGGTCACAGAGTCCACAGGAGAACCAGCTAAACAGACTCAAAAGCGAGGTCACAGAGTCCACGGAGAACCAGACAAACAGACTCAGAAAGCGAGGTCACAGAGTCCACAGGAAAACCAGCTAAACAGACTCAAAAGCCGAGGTCACAGAGGTCCACAGGAGAAACCATCTAAACAGACTCAAAAGCGAGGTCACTAGAGTCCGACAGAGAACCAGAAACAAACAGACTCAAAAGCGAGGTCACAGAGTCACAGGAGAACCAGCCAAACAGACTCAAAGCGAGGTCACAGAGTCCACAGGAGAACCAGCCAAACAGACTCAAAAGCCGAAGTCCACAGAGTCCACAGGAGAAACCAGACAAACAGACTCAAAGCGAGTCACAGAGTCCACAAAAGACCAGCCAAACAGACTTCAGAAAGCGAGGTCACGATGTCCACAGAAGAACCAGACAAACAGACTCAAAAGCGAGGTCACAGAGTCCACAGGAGAACCAGACAAACAGACTCAAAAGCGAGGTCACAGAGTCCACATGAAACCAGACAAACAGACTCAAAAGCGAGGTCACAGAGTCACAAGAAGTCCACAGGAGAACCAGACAAACAGACTCAGAAGCGAGGTCACAGAGTCCACAGGAGAACCAGCCAAACAGACTCAAAAGCTAGGTCACAGAGTCCACAGGAGAACCAGACAAACAGACTCAAAAGCGAGGTCACAGAGTCCACAGGAGAACAGCTAAAAACAGACTCAAAAGCGAGACAGAGTCCACAGGAAAACCAGCAAACAGACTCAAAAGCGAGGTCACAGAGTCCACAGGAGAAACCAGACAAAAAGGACTCAAAACGAGTCACAGAGTCCACAGGAAACCAGCAAACAGACTCAAAAGCGAGGTCACAGAGTCCACAGGAGAACCAGACAAACAGACTCAAAAGCGAGGTCACAGAGTCCACAGGAGAACCAGACAAACAGACTCAAAAGCGAGGTCACAGAGTCCACAGAAGAACCAGCCAAACAGACTCAGAAGCGAGGTCACAGAGTCCACAGGAGAACCAGACAAACAGACTCAAAAGCGAGGTCACAGAGTCCACAGGAGAACCAGCCAAACAGACTCAGAACAGGTCACAGAGTCCACAGGTCCAGACAAAAGACTCAAATACAAGTCACAGAGTCCACGGAGAACCAGCCAACAGACTCAAAAAGCGAGGTCACAGAGTCCACAGGAGATCCAGACAAAGACTCAAAGAGCTCCATAACCAGACAAACAGACTCAAAAGCGAGGTCACAGAGTCCACAGGAGAACCAGCCAAAACAGTCTCAAAAAGCGAGGTCACACAGAGTCCACAGGAGAACCACCAAACAGACTCAAAAAGCGACAGAGTCCACAGGAGAACCAGACAACCAGAGAGGTCACAGGAGTCCACAGCCAGAACAGACTCAAAGCGAGGTCCACAGAGTCCACAGGAAACCAGCCAAACAGACTCAAAACGAGTCACAGAGTCACAGCAGAACCAAGATCAAACAGACTCAAAAGCGAGTCACAGAGTCCACAAAAGAACCAAGCCAAACAGACTCAAAGCGAGGTCACAGAGCCACAGAAGAACCAGACAAACAGACTCAAAAGCGAGGTCACAGAGTCCACAGGAGAACAGCCAAACAGACTCAAAGCGAGGTCACAGAGTCCACAGGAGAACCAGACAAACAGAACTCAAAACAAGTCACAGAGTCCACGGAGAACAAGCCAAACAGACTCAAAAGCGAGTCACAGAGTCCACAGGAGAACCAGACAAACAGAACTCAAAAGCGAGTCACAGAGTCCACAGGGAGAACCAGACAAACAGACTCAAAAAGCACAGAGGAGAACCAGTCTCAAAAGCGAGGTCACAGAGTCCACAGGAGAACCAGAAACAGACTCAAGGAGGTCACAGAGTCCACAGGAGAACCAGACAAACAGACTCAAAAGCGAGGTCACAGATACAAAAGTCTCAAAAGCGAGTCACAGAGTCCACAGGAGAACCACCAACAAAACAGACTCAAAAGACGACAGTCCACAGGAGAACCAGCCAAACAGACTCAAAAGCGAGGTCACAGAGTCCACAGGAGAACCAGCCAAACAGACTCAAAAGCGAGGTCACAGAGTCCACGGGAAGAGAACCAGACAAACAGACTCAAAAGCGATCACAGAGTCCACAGGAAACCAGCCAAACAGACTCAAAAGGGGTCACAGAGTCCACACAGAAAACAGACTCACAGTCACAGAGTCACAAAAACCAGCCACGGACTCAGAAGCGAGGTCAGAGTCCACAGGAAGAACCAGACAAAAACAGACTCAAAAGCGAGGTCACAGAGTCCACAGGGAAACCAGCCAAAACAGGACTCAAAAGCGAGGTCAAAGAGTCCACAGGAGAACCAGGCCAAACAGACGCAGAACGAGGTCACAGAGTCCACAGAAGAACCAGAACAAACAAGCTCAAAAGCGAGAAACAGATCCACAGGAGACCAGCCAAACAGACTCAAAAGCGAGGTCACAGGTCCACAGGGAAGAACCAGCCAAAACAGACTCAAAAGCAAGTCACAGAGTCCACAGAGAACCATACAAACAGACTCAAAAGCGAGGTCACAGAGTACGGCAGAACCAGCCAAACAGACTCAGAAAGCGAGGTCACAGAGTCCACAGAAAGACCACCAAACCAGACTCAGAAGCGAGCTCACAGAGTCCACAGGAGAACCAGCCAAACAGACTCAAAAGCGAGGTCACAAGATTCCACAGGAAACCAGCCAACAGACTCAAAACAGGTCACAGATTCCACAGGAGAACCACCCAAACAGACTCAGAAGCGAGGTCACAGAGTCCACAGGAGAACCAGCCAAACAACTCAAAAGCGAGTCACAAGCCACAGTCAACCAGACCAAAACAGACTCAAAATACAAGTCACAGATTCCACAGGAGAACCAGACAAACAGACTCAAAAACAAGTCAGAGAGTCAACATGGAAACCAGCCAAACAACTCAAAAAAGCCGAGTCACAGAGTCAGACAGCACCAACCCCACAGACCCCACATCACAGAGTCACGCACACACACCAAAACCTGATCACGAGAATCCGCAGACCCATCCCCACACCACCAACGCCCCCGGCGTCAAAAGCCGACTCACAGAATCAAACAAGGTCATTCTGCACCCACAGACAATGACCTGGCTGGAGAGAATACCTGGTTGGGCGCATGTTATGTGTCGACATAGGTCCAAACAGTTCCCAAGGATTCATCTTGTCAGCTGTGTCGACTAATGGATTACGGTGTTAGGGAGAGAGAGAGAGGAAGGGGAGAGAGAGGGAGAGAGAGAAGAGGAGGAGGAGAAGGGAGGAGCGGAGAGGAGGAGAGAAAGAGAAAGAGAGGGGAAGGAGGAAGTAGATAGAGAGAGAGAGATAGCGAAAGAAAGAGAAGGAGAAAGGAGAGAAAAAGGAGGAGGAAGAAGAGCAGAGAAAGAGGGAGAGAGGGGAAGGAAGAAGAGAGAGCGAGGCTGCATGGAGATTGGGAATTAGAATGAGAGACGAAAGAGGAAGGAGGCAGTTTCCCCCCCTCTCTCTCCTCCCTGCCCGCTCTCTCCTCCCTGCCCTCTCTCTCCTCCCGCCCTCTCTCTCCTCCCTTCCCTCCCCCCCCCCCCTGCCTCTTCTCCTCCTGCCCTCCTCTGCCCCCTCTCTCCTCTTCCTCTCTCCTCCCTGCCCTCTCTCCTCCCTGCCCTCTCCCCCCTCCCTCTCTCCTCCCTCTCTCCCTCTCTCCCCCTTTCCTCTCCCCTCCCTGCCCCCTATCTCCTCCCTGCCCTCTCTCTCCTCATGTATATCACATTGGCTTCCCTTTGAGCGTGGTCCGATGGCACTTATCGGGAAGAGTGCCATTCGATGGAGTGTGCCAATTCAATTGATGTCTTTTCATCGACGTGCCAAAAAATGTAATTACTCAGAATCAGAACTTCAAAGGTCAGTTTGTAGTTTTCGTCTTTTTTTTTTTTTTTTTTTTTTTTTTTTTTTTTTTTACTTGTCAAGGCACGTGACACAAGAGTCGAGATTTTTTGTTTGAATATCGGACTTCATGCGATGAAGGCACGTGACTTATAAGTGTTGTTACCTGCATGTCGACTCATTCTCTGACTCAAGGTCTGACTCAAGGTCGACTCACTCTCTGACTCAAGGTCGATTCACTCTCACGGTCGACTCACTCTCTGACTCACGGCGACTCTATGACTCACGCTCGACTCACTCTCTGACTCACAATCGACTCACTCTGACTTACGTTCCTGACTCATGTTAGTCTATCCTCTGAGAATGACTCAAAGCTTCCTAACTCATACATTCATCCCAAGCGGTCAGTGACTCACACTCACCACACATCGTTTAGGAGCACCCCCCCCCCCCTGACTCACGCTGAACACGCTTTTGCATTCGACTCACGTTCGTCCGTTCTTTGAGTGACTCATGCCACCTAACTCACCTACTCACCACAAACTCCCATTGACTCATCACCGCCACCGCTAATGAGTACCTCTCTCTGACTCACCGCCAGAGTCACGTGATCTGGAGCGCATGTGACAAGTATCTTGCACAGCGTCGTGAAGCCATAGGGGCGAATTTGGCCTTTGTTGCAACGTTTTTTCGACCGTAAGGAGTTCAAAGAGATTAAAACTTAACTGTGATGGATTATAAACAAACTTTTCATTGAAGATTTATTCATTTACATATAGACGCTTGTGTTTGTTTTTTTATCCTTGTTCATATTATTCTTGTCGTTATCGTTGTTATTGTCATTATTGTTATTATCATCATTAGTATTATTATCATTATCACTATTGTCATTGTTATTGTTATTATTATATCATTAGTATCATTATCGTTATTGTTACCATTGCTATCATCATTATTATTACTGATATTGTTATCATCATTATTACTGATATCATTATCATCATCATTGCTATTATTCATCATTATCATAATTACCATTTTTATTATTTTCATCATCATTTTCGTTATCATCATCATTATCATTATTACCAATATTATTATTCTTTGTAGTAGTAGCATCATGGTCTTTATCACTCTCATTTTTGACATATATTTGTGAATTAAGTGGTTATCTTATATTATATTTAAAAATATATATATAGAGAGGGAAAGAGAGAGAAGGAAAGGAAAGAAGAGAGAGAGAGGAAGGAGAGGAGAGGAGAGGAGAGGAGAGGAGAGGAAGAGAGGAGAGGAGAGGAAGGAAGAGAGATGAGAGAGAGAAGAGAAGGAGAGGGGAAAGGAGAAGAGAGAGAGGAGAGAGAGAGAGAGAGAGAGAGAGAGAGAGAGAGAGAGAGTGAGAGAGAAAGAGAGAGAGAGAGATAGAGAGAGAGAGAGAGAGAGAGAGAAGAGAGAGACCAAGAGAGAGAGAGAGAGAGGGAGGGGGGGGAAGAGAGAGAAGTAGGGAAAAAGAAGAGAGAACAGAGGAAGGAGAGAGAGAGAAGGGAAAAAGAGGACGGAACAGAGAGAGAGAGTGAGGGAAATAGATGAGAGAGGATGAGAGAGAGAGGAGTGAGAGAGAGAGAGAGCGAGAGAGAGAGAGAGAGAGAAGAGAGAGAGAGAGAGAGAGAAAGAGAGAGAGAGAGAGAGATGAGAGCAGAGAGGGAAAGAGACGAGAGAGAGAGAGAGAGAGAGAGAGACGGAGAGGAGAGAAAGAGAAGAGAGAGAAGAGAGCAGAGAGAGAGAGAGTGAGAGAGAGAGGAGAGGGAAAGAGAGAGAGAGAGAGGAGAGAGCAGAGAGAGAGAGAGAGAGAGAGAGAGAGGAGAGAGAAGAGAGAGAGAGAGAGGAGGGAAAAGAGAGAGAGAGTAGAGAGAGAAGAGAGGAGAGAGAGAGAGAGAGAGAGAAGAGAGAGGAGAGAGAGAGAGAGGGAAAAGGAAGAGGAGAGAGAGAGAGAGGGAAGAGAGAGAGAAGAGAGAGAGAGGAGAAGAGGAGAGAGGAGAGAGAGAGAGAGAGAGAGGGGAGGAGAGAGGAGAGAGAGACTGAGACGAGAGAGAGTGCAGAGATGAGAGAGGAGGCGCGATTAA